AAAACTTTTAAAAAGGTACAATAGTTTGCTGAATTTGAACATTTGAATTCTGCACCACAAGGACCTGTAATACACTAGAAGGTCACAGAGGTGAGATGGGTGGTGTAGAAATTTGATAAAAAAATAAATAAGGTGGTTATAATGAAAATATAATTTGAATGGCCTTATAACGATGTCATAATAGGTTAATGTGGTTGCCTGTCTTTGATCAGCATCAAATAATGATTCAGAAGGGAAGTTCTAGTTAAAAAATAGGTTAAAATTCAACATTGATCTAGGAACAAAACACATATATATCCAAACATTAACTATAGCATTTCTAGAAAATACTTTCTTCTTCTGTGTTTTTCTCTCACAGAACTGCAAACTTTTCTAATTAATCCTCCATTCTTCTTTCCCACAAACCATACTCATCCTGCCAGCCATCTTCACTAGGCCTCTATCCTCATGCCAAACGGACCTTCCATGCTGTTCTTCCACCTTTCTGGCCTATCATGGCTGAAAGGTCTCTTTGTCTCCATGGTAACCACAGGTAAGCCACTGTGTTGCAAGACTAGAGGGAAATAAGGCTTTGCCAACAGACTGCCTACGGTCCTAACATCTTGAGGAAAAGAATGATCACAGAAGGGCCAAACATACATGCTAAAGGATATTTTTGTGCATCTCCCCACCAAATTATTTACATATATATGTATATTTTTTCTTAACTGTTATTGTTCAATGCTACACAACTGCTAATAGACAAAGGTTCTGGAACTTGGACTTCTACTACTGGCCTTACATATCTCACCAGGAGAATCAGCTTCAGGATCCCTAGGCAATTCCAATACCTTATAAGTAGTGTGTCTCATTTCATTCCCCAAAAGAAATGAATAAAAAGGTAGTTAAACAGACAGTAATTTTTTGGGGTGTATAGATGAAAAGAATGTATTTAAGAGGATTACTGAAGAATAGAGCCATGCTGCTGGTCCCATCTCCAGAGATTCAAGTATTAGTGAAGAATTACCCATGAAAGATGGCTATCTGCATTTGGAAGAGTAGCACTACAGAACAGATGAAAAGAGAAAACTAAAATGTACATTTTTTGTAACAGTCACTAGCATTTCCTTTGAACAACCCAGCAACTCATTTGCCTTATAGCAAGAAGATGAGGTTTATTCTCTCTCCAGCAGGAAAATTGGAGGAAAAAAGATAGTGATTTAAAATATTATTCTAAGTCAGTTTCTTCCAACTTGGTGTCTTCCTGATTCGTTTGGGCTAGTTTCTAAAATTCTCTGCCATCTTGGCCAATACATATAGAGAGTACCAAGCTGGACAAAGCAGCTCTAAATAAATTTTGAATTTCACACATAAACAGGATACTATGCCTTTAGTAAAATAATTCAATACTTGATGTTTAGTTAATCTTCATAGATTTCATGACAGATTAAAAAAAATAGATACATTTAATTAAAACAGCCATGCAAATTTATTTTTTACCATTTAAAGATCAATAAAGTAAGTCCCAGAAGCAAAACAATGATTTTATGGATGGTGGGGGGGACTATTCGTTGGTGTACTTATCAAAAGCTCTTTTACAATGCCCAATTCCAAATTTCTGGGTAGGATATAATAATAGAACAGTATAAAATGATTATATTCAGATGTCTTTTGTGCAATTATATTAACAAAAACAGGAAATATTTGAATTATAATACTGTATACTTTGTAGTATCGTCTGCAATTATTTAGGCATTCATTGTTAACCTGCATGCATTCTGTAAGGAGAAAACTATGTAGGGTATTGAAATGCTGTTCTCTCATCCATTTAAAAACCTGCTGAACCTCAACACTTGCCTTCTGTTTTGAATTTAGTAGCATGTATCTAGCTGATTTTTGAAGAATTGTTTTTGACAGTAGAGGACAAAGCTATATTCATATAGTCCTGAAGATATGACTGCAATTATCCAGTATGTCCCAAATGGTCGTTAGGTGAAGGTCTTTCTGCTCTCCCAAAAATTATTAAATGTCTGGGTCATTAAGTGGAGTATGGGGTGCTTTGGGTGAGGTAGGTCCTTGGAGACCTAATATAGACCCAGGCTCGCCTGCCCTGGGCCTCCCAAGGTCTCCCCAACTCCCTGAGATCCTGTACTCCACTTTCCATTTCTTGGGTCCCTATAGGCCTTTTCCCACTCTTAGGCCTGATTCCCACTCCATCAGGCCAAGCACCCTCCTTCTCACTTAACTTTTGAAGGCCTATGAGGCCTTCCAGAGCACTGGAATGGATTATTCCTTTCTGTAGCCACACGGAGCAGTTCCAGAAGCAGCTGCCATTTTGTCCTACCCACAAAGTAGGTAGCTTCTGCAATGCTATGTAGACCCCGTAAAGGCAGAAAATGAAGCAGTTTGTCTGGCAGCCACCATTTTGTCCTAGCCCACAAGTGGGTGGGACAAAATGCTCGCCATGTTCAGATTGCCTATGAATGGTCCAGGGGCACATGGCCTGCCCTCCTTCCCTACAGTGAGGTCTAAAGAACTTCAAAATATAAGTGATGGGTGATGGGTGTGTGGGGATGAGGCCCAAGCGCTGTGGGGTCTCAGAGAATGGGATGGAGTGAGTCTTTTTGTGGTGGGTCTTAAGGGTGAATGACCTTAGGCACCATTTGAAACAGGGTCATTTTGGAGTATCTGTTGTAACTTTGAATGTTGGTTAAGTCATCTATCATATCTCAAGGACTACCTGTATTGCACTGAAATTGTAAGCTTAAGTTAACCCCATTTTTAGTAGAAGACCAGCTTTTCTGTTCAAACTGTGTACACTTTCAAAAGGATGCTGAGGCATTTGCAATACATATTTTGTCTCCTGCACTGACCAATAGATTGAAGACTGCTTTGTATGAAAGCTTATGTGTGAATAGAGAATATAAAGAATGGTTGGATTTGTTGGCTCTCTTTTTCAGTCCTATTTTCATTTCCTATTTACTAATCCTATGCTTTAATGAACCAAATTATTAAAATAGTGTTGCTAATGTGACTCTTAAAGCAAAATAATGTTTTTTCCAGCCTAATATGGAAGCTTGAAAAAACCCTGCATATTTTAACAAATAACATAATAACAATGAATAGCAGAGAGATTCTGTGCACACTCTAGGTATAAGTATTTCTTCTAAATCATTTTAAAATCAGCTACTGTACTAACAAACATTGGAGAGCAACTGTTGCTAGAGTGTAAAGAGGAAGGTTTCCATTGTTTTACAGGTTTTACGTTGTTCTCTTTTTCTCTTTCTTGATATGGCATAATTAGTCTTTCTCCAAAATGTAGATATTTTCTAATTATTCCCCATATTAATCCTTCTGAGCATGAGTTACACATGGTACTTTAAGCCATATTCTTTACAAAAATCTTGTTATTTTACTGATCAGGCCAGAAAACCAAAATAGAATTATACTAGTTCCGATCCATGTATAATTAGAAATGAAGCTAATTATTAATGGATAAGAATGGGTCTAAAAATAACTCAGTCAATTTAACAATTGGAATTTACTGAAAAGGATGGATAATTCAAGTTTTATCAGAACATGTTCTATCTTTCATTAATTGCTGTAAAGCCACAGTGAATCAGCATTGTTCTGTTAAATGGACTGTCAGTCACCCAATCCATCATTTTGGGAACAGAGTGCTAATCCAACATCTGGAACACTTCACATTGCTTCTGGATTTGTGGATTTAATCATAGAAACTGTCAGACAGTCTAATTTTTATCATGATTTTTCACCTGCTTTCCTCCTTCATATAATTATAACATTTAGCTGTAAGAAAAAATGCAGTTATCTTCATAACCCCTGGAATAGATGCCAGGTTTTAAATATTATAGCAAGAGTGCCAATGCCTCTGACTTTGTAATTTCTTTCTGCAAAGACTTCCATATTGCTTAGATAATACATTTGAGTAGAAAGCATAATGTAGGATTAAAAAATAAATGCCGCATCATAAACTTTATTACGTGTCATGAAAACCACTGTTAAGAAATTCCAGCCAAGTATAACTTGAGGTAATTGGGATGCCTGTTCTGAACTCTATATTAGCTCTCTATTTTGCAAATATTGGAGAACTCATTGCGGAGAGCCTTCACGCTAGAAACTGGGAGATCATGAGCTCTAGTGCCACCTTGGTCACAAAGCCATCTGGATGATCTTGAGCCAGTCACTTTCTTTCAGCCCTAGGAAAGAGGCAAGGGCAAACCACTTCTGAAAAATCTTGCCAAGCAAACTGCAGGAATTTGTGATGCAGTCTTTGAGAATTGTAAAACTGAATGGAAGAAAAGCAATCTCAAAGATAAGTATACAGACCCTGTCAGACTACCCCTGTCAGTTGAACAACAAAGTACATATGGAAATTTTTGAAAAATTAGAATAATATAAGTGGAATAGAAATATTTTCAGTCAATGAAATAAGTATGTGCTTTCATTCAAACATGGGATGCTTCTTTGCACAATCACAAATTCTCCTTTATTCAGGCCTCCAAGCTGCTTGCTCAATACTAATGTGGATCAATAAATATGGATAGAACTCCCTTTACAAGGTACAGTTGGGAAATTGAGAACGCAGAAGCAAGAATTAATCTTAATCATGAGATCAGAGCATCAATCTAGATTCAATAAGAAAAAAAAAGGTTATGACTGGACAGATTTGACAAAATGACAGCTGTTGTGATTTTGCATAACATCTGTCAACATGTTTTAAATTAATGCATCTTTTCCTGCAATTGTGGAGCAGTAGTCATGTGAATCCCAGAAGAAAACAAGAGCTTCCTTAAAGAGTTACTGCTCTAAAGATGATGATACAGATTTTAAAATGCATCTGCTGTCAATAAAAGAAATTAAAACTCCTGGTCGAATGAAATGTTGGTGTGGTAAAGCTTTGAAATTAAAATAAAATAAAATACAAATAAAGCCTCTGGAGCCGTTATTCTTCTCCAGGAAGGGTATAAGTAAGCAAATGTAGAACATTAAAGACTCACCTGGCTGTTTGGGTCACCAAGTAAGTTACATATATGGGGCACAATCTTGCTCAAGGTTAAACTCTGAGCTCCAGATCTAAAATAGAAGAAGACAACAAAAAGCAAGAAAGCAACATATCAGCTAAGTAATTTTTCAAAGCAACTGAACGCAGGTATAACTTAGGCATAATAGTCCAACTTACGCATTAAGAGTTGCAATAAGGCAGAGGCAAATTCCTTCTCTTGTCCGGAAATTCTTATGTTTGAATCCTCCCAAAATTCTGTCCCACACGTACTGTCACATAGATATAAGAAAGTAAGAGGCAGGAAAACATCCTAAATGAAGATTGGTTGCATCTGCTTGATCCTGAATATCCTATTGTCACAAGACAAGTGTGATGGGGTTGCACACATAACGTGCATGTGTGGATGCATACATGAATGAAGACAGTGTAGGCGAGTGGAACTAATTTAATTATTGAAAAATATTTTAGAAGTTTATTTTTACTGGCAGGGAATATACTGATATGGCCTTCTTCCCATCATATTCATATATAAAGGGTCTAAAATAGGAGTGTCAAACTCGCAGCATCACATTGTTGTCATGTGACATGTCATGACTTTTCTCCCCTTCGCTAAAACGGGGTGGGCGTGGCCAGGGTGTGATGCATCCAGCCTGTTACCTCTTCAACTTGTATGCCTTTGATAGATACATAGCACCCATCCTATTTGAACAATAAAGTTTATTAGGCATAATAAAAATGTTCAATACAAATTGAACCTTCTTGTGAATGGTTTCCTTGGAGTGGATACCATAAGTTTGTACCCGATTGTTGTACATTTCCAAAACTCACCTGGGGACTAGAAGCTTGCTCCATGATTTTTAACAGCAGGGCCTGATCCTGCTCTCGTACAGAGTCTTTTGAATCTCCCAGTCTGTCAATTAGACTAGGTAACACTGGAGACAAAAAGAAAGGCGGATCACAAAGGAGGAGTCAAAAACACAGAGTTGACATTTCAGATCAACACTAAAATATGTCTACCCTCCCAAGTGCCTTGTGGGGTGTTTTGGTAAGCTACTCATGTGGAAGAAATAGACATTTGCTTCAGACAACAGGCTGTGAAAAAGGCTGCCCTGTCATTATGTTTGCATATGCTGCTAACTTTTCAAGTATGTCCAATCATATTTATTTTCATGCACTATATTAATGGCTGCTGCTTGTAATTCCCCCATACAGGTAGTGTTTGCTTAATGACCAATCACTTAACCATTTGAATCACTCAAGTTTCTTACAACCTAACCTTGAAGTTACAATTGCAATACACACACCTGCAGTCATGTGACTGCATTTTAAGCACTTGGCAACCAAATCACATTTACATTAATGTTAATTAGTGACTTGAGGCTCTTTGGGACTCATAGGTCCTGCTACAGCAGTTGGAGGTTGTGGTTCTGGAGTGTGTGTTTCTAGCTTCTGCTGGTGCATCAGTTGTGACTCTAGCTGGAGTGGTGAGATTTTGATATGGTGGCTGAGATCCTCATTATCACCACTTGCTGATTTTTGAAACACACTCTACCTGGGGCTTTCTTTGAAAATCACCCGGAAGAATGCACTTGATTCAGGGTGCAGCAATCTGTATGCTAACCAGCGTTTGCCAGTGGAGACACATTATACCATTGTGTGGGAATCTGCATTGGTTGCTAACAGGCTCCTGGATACAATTTTAAAGTGCTGGCATTAACTTTTAAAACTGCTTGTTATCTGCATGAGTAGATTCACTCATTTGAATTGACATGACCAGTTCAGCCTACTTGGGAAGAAACTATTTAATAGTGTCTGCTTTAAGGAATGTAAGGGAAAGTGCTATTTTTTTGTGCCTGCCTGCCTGCTTTCTGGAAACTGAGCTTTTTCAGAGGGGACCTTGATTAGTTTAGTTTTATTCCATGCTTTCATTAGTTTTTGTGAACACTTATTTTATACTTTTGCTTGATTATATATTGTTTTTTATGTGTTAGAGTCCTTAAGGATTCAGCAATCTACACTGTAAATGTAAATAATAATTCAGTGTCATCAGACATATATGAGAATCTTTCACAGATATTGATGTTGGCTTTTTAAAAAGATTTTTGTTATCCTGCTTTTATTACTAATTTAAGTAGCTCAGAGGGGAGAACATATCTAATACACCCCTTTCCTCTTATTTTCCTTACAACAGGAATACTATGAGGTGGGTTATGCAGAGAGAAACTAACTGGCCAGAGACAACCAACACGCTGTCATAGAAAGTAGGATTAGAACTCACAATCTCCTGGTTTCTAGGACAGCACCTTAACAATTACACCAAACTGGCTCTTCATGACTCCCCCAAGTCCTGTACAGAGCTCAAAGGTATATTATCCAATCAGCTGAAAACTAACATTAGGATTGGTGCTGAGTCTATAATTTAATTCAAGTGGCATGCTTGTAAGGATTCAGGACCCAATCACCTCTATTTTAAAAATGACATACAAAGGTGTGTCACATAAACTATGGGGCAACCATCAAACTACATTTAAAGTTAGTATATTGTGTGAACCCAGCCTGCACATTACCAGATGTTCCTCAGAGAAAACTGTAAAAGCAAAATAATTATGAAGTTCTTATCTAACATTATTACAATGCAAAGTAATTTCTGTGTTCATACCAATGGCAAAGTTCCTGGTTTTTTAAATTATTACAGGTTGCTGTTCCTTCTAGCTAACAAGAACAAGCTGGCCCACACATATGATTTTAGTTTCATCATAAAATAAACATAATTTGAGGGAAAGTTACCAAGGCCAGTACACCCTTTTTACCTTACCTGTGCCAATTTGAGCTTTAAATCTATCTTGGAGCCTTGACACCAGTGCAGATAAGATGTCCAAGCCCAGCAGGACAACCTGAAAACAACAACAGGATGTTAAAAAAAAAGATGCAATCTCTGGATATGGAAAAGAAACATGAATATGAAAACAGTGAGTATGCAACCTAGACATTAAAACAGATATTAAAGGAATGGGCTCTCATAACTACCAAACAGAAGGTTGTTAAAAGTTGCACAAACTTCAATTTGATGTTTAAAGGGATCTGGAGTTTTTTAGGTAACCAATGTTGTTGATGAGACTGGGTAATTAGGCAACTGCTATTGAAATAAATGAACCCAGTTCAACGACTAAGACAGAAACCAAGGTCCGTTCTGATGCTATGCACCTTTATTGGAGTAAATCCTTCAATTCAGTTATCCAACTTTGCTCAGGACAGTAAATGTTCAATTGCTTATTCTGTCCGTACTTCCCATATACTTAAACGGCAGGTTGAGGATTCTAGATTACAGAATGATATTAAAGTTTTAAGCTTGGTCATTTATTATGGACTAATTAATCCATGTTGTAAGTCCTGAGTGGAGGAACGATGTCAGGTTATGTAGTGTTGTATTTTGTTTGTGGTTTCTTAGTTGTGATTCAGGAGACCTAGACAACATCTATGCTCAGAAAATGCAAATAAGTAGAACAGCTGCAAGTCTAAAGATTAATTTCCATAAAAGTTATCAACACTGTTTTAAGATAAGCTGAGTGAGGAGAAACATTATTCAAATTCATAAAATGGCATATCAAACTATACTGAAGATGCACTACTTTGTAACCTGGAAGTTATTAATAAGCAAATTAACATTAACTGTTAAAAAAACCAGGGCCAAATATTGGATAAGTTGAAGTTGTTGACATGACTAACCAAAGGATTAGTCATTGAGAATTGGGCAGCATAAGTTTAATTAATGGATTGTGGATTTTGAATACATGCTGTTTTGAATCCAAATACATTTTGAATCCATACAATTATAATTTTGAATAAATTTAAGATGGAGGGGAGAGACCAATAATGCAGTATTTGCGTTTAACTTATTCCAACTCTTGACTTCTTTAATGCAATTACTATGAATGCATTGGTTTACATGTAATAAATTTAAAGAGCCAGTGAAAAATAACTTATGCTACACAATGAAGTGTAAGATGTAAACTTTTTCAAAATCACTTTTTAAAAATACTAAGTTTAAAAAAAAACCTATGAAGCTGTAATTTTAAAACATTTTACAGCTTCTATGAAGCTGTAATTTTAAAACAGACTTTATCCCTCCTGCAAAATGTTCTAACTAAAAAGCTAGGCATTCTTGGATTTGTAGCCACAACAAGGAACCAGACTGGAGAAGCGTTTGCATGAAGCATCCTGAAAGGAAGCAAATCTAATATATATTTTAGAAAGCCCATTAAGTACCAAATTTATGTGGTTCTCAGAATGTACTTGCTGCAGAATTCAGAGATAAAAAAGCCTCCACTTACACACTAAACTCCAAACACAGAAGGAATTTACATGCAGATCTCTTTTGTAACAAGAAGCTTACCCAAATAGGGCAGCCTTTCAAGGGCACTGGACTACACCTCCCATCATTCTTCTCTGTGGAAGTTGCAGTCTAATAGGGTGGGGTTGCGCCCGTTTGGAGAAAGCTGGTCTGTAACATTATTAAGGACTTCAACTAAAAAGAAAAAAATGATCAACCAAGCTCTAAACTCAACGAGGACACGTATAGGGATGCAGTCTGAGGAACCCTAGTAAAGAGAATGTAAAGGATGAAACCGCCCCCCCCCATCGCTAAGCAGGCGCGCCAAAACAAGATCTTCACAAGCGGAAAAGGGCATCGCTTCGAAGCTTAAGCCCGCCTCCCCGCTACGCTTCGTCATAACACCGCCCACTATGCAAAGTGACTGCTGCACGGCATTTTGGGTAACCTCCAAACTCACGAAGAGAGGAGCTGAAAAGCCGCTTGCTTTGCAAATACTTCAGAAATGGCATTAATCTACACGCTGTCCGCCGCAAAGCAGTCTAAGCAAGCAAACGCGGGTCGCGGCTCACTATGATCTCGGTGGGTTTACCGTTTAGTTCCCCAGACCGCCGCCTGCAAAATATCTCTCAACTATCCTTATCTTGGGGTTGCGCTACTGTTCAATGAACGTCTGGTGAGGACAGTACTGCTAACACCTACACAACACTTTAGCATCCTTGGGGTTTATTCCCCACGTGAGGTGCAATTTTTGGAACCTTACTTTAAATACACCCCCAACGGGGTATAAACCCATGAAATAATGTCAATGCATATTATACTCAAACGAAGTTGTTCTTTAGGTGTGCTATTCATCAGTTGCCACCAGGTGGTGCTACAGTTTACACGGTAAGCCCGGAATAACCAAGTGAGATGGTTTGAATCTTACAACTGCTGTATCCAGAAACAATCGTAGTTAAGCTTTTTATATGTACCACTTATTTGATTTACAAGGTTTGAATCCTACAAATTCTGTACCTAAAGCAATCGTAGTTAAAGCTGCTTATTTCCATAGGTACGAATAACATTTGAATTTTACAGCTACTGTATCCTAAAGCAATCATAGTTAAACTGCCCATTTCCATAGGTTCCATTTATTCAACAAAAAATCCAAACTGAGCCAAGAGCACAGAGGTATTTGAATCCCATACAAAGCCTCCACTTCAAAACGACTTCCATCTATTTGATTCAGTGTCTTCAATCGCCAAAGGGCATTTAACAAATCAAAAAAGTTAAAAAGCTGCTTGTAAAACATTAATAGATTGTTAAGGAAAGCAACTGGTTACTTCCCCCCCAATCCTTAATCCTTCACTGTGTTAACATTTGTAGGGGACAGGAAGATCAGGAAAGCTAAAGCAGCCTTATATTTGTTTTCAACTGTTTTATCAGCCTTGGACCAATCATCCTCCTTTAGGTAAAAGGTGGGGTTGAATCCCCCTGAGTCAGTGTTGACTGACTATGAATGCCTAGACAAGTCCCTGAGAATTTCTTGGCAGGATTTTTCAGCCTTGTCCTTGCTTCCTACCCAGGGCTGAAAGAGAACGACTGACCCAAAGTCACCCAACTGGCTTTGGGCCTAAGGAACAAGCTGGAATTCACAACCTCCCGGTTTCTAGTCTGGTGCCATGACAACCACTCCCAACTGGCTCAAACCCAAACCAGCAAAGTGGAAAATTTAGGACCCCCACCCCTCCCAGATAGCAATATAAGAGGAAATATGTTGGATGTTTCTAACCAGGTGCCTTTAACTACTATAACCAAAGTGGCTGTCTTTTTAGGTAAAAACTCCCCTTATGTCAAACTGAATTCCTGGCAACATGGAAGTGTTCAATTCAGCCACCTTCTGGGACTTTTTTTTTTCATTCCCAGTCTAGATTAATCTTCTGAATCTTGTAGTGCTCTCTTATCCAAATGCTAACTAGGTCCAATCACACTTAGCTTTTTTGAGATCAGCCCGCTTTTGGCATGGGGCTGCCAACTGTTGCTAACTCTACATTTCTACAAAGAGGAATCAAGTGATCGGCTTTGCAAGGAAGCAGAGTAAAATGTACGCTTCCCAGAGCCACTTGTTGAGATGGCAACTATAGAAATAAAATTTAATGCATGGCATACATACATAGATACATAACCTTGCTCTTGCAACCATCATAAGAACCCGCTAACACAGTTTCTATTCTATTCATTTAAAGAAATAATACCTACATTTTAAACATTAATTGATGAGTCCCTCATTTTTCCCCTTATTATTCCTGTATGTGTCCATTTTCAAATCTGGACATTGAGCAGATCCATCGTCTGGATTACCCTGAGAGATGAGATTTTGGATGCTCTCCTGTGGATCTTGCTAACTCCCTCACTATTGATGGGGTTTAGTTGGGGCAGTTTTGAAGGTTGGGAATTCAATGTCCTGTAGTTGCTCAGGTCACTATTAAAAATCAGCAGAGGAGAGAGAGTGTGTTTGGTTTGGTCTGCTGACATCAGGAACCCCCGCAGGATCCCAGTCTCTTCAATGATCCTGCCCTAACAATTGCAAAGTACGGTCATTTTGAGGGACGTCTCATCTTTGAAACAGTCTCAAAGCCTCAACTGGAAAATGCTGTGGCCAAGTCGGTAAGCTAGATCACATAGCACCAGTCCTAATGCATGTTTTACCAGCTACTGGGAATCAATTGTCTTTTTCTAAGGCTTAAAAAAAAGGCTTCCCAGTTCCCCATTTGAGGATTTTCTGCTGGTCTTCTCTCCAAATAATAACCAGAAGCTGATCCTGTTCAGCTTTTCAAGCTCAGTCAAAGTCAGCTACAGTATGTGCTACTTCATATGTTGTGTTTCGTACTTGTGAGTGTCACAACACCAAAATAACTGCCCGAATATTGTCACATTGCAACTATTACTGCAAAGTGATTCTGCTTGACTAAACTAGGTCTATGCAATTTGCACCATCAAACTTACACAGCAAATTATGTGTGATCTAGGCATACATTAAAAATCAAATTATCACTGCATATTCTAAGGTGGCATTGCTTCAAAAATATAAATCTTTACTAGGGAAAGTCTATTCCCTAGTAAAGCACCAGAGGGCAGGAAAAGAAACAGTGGATGGAAACTAATCAAGGAGAGAAGCAATTTGGGATTAAGGAGAAACTTCCTAACGGAGGACAATTAAGCAGTGGAACAGCTTGCCACCAGAAGTTGTGGGTGCTTCATCACTGGAGGTTTTTAAGAAAAGACTGGACCGCCACTTGTCTGGAATAGTAGAGGATCTGCTTGAGTAGGGGATCCAAGATCCCTTCCAGGTCTAGTCTGATTATTTTTTTTTCTTTCCATGTTATCAGAAGTATATGCTAGAGTTGCTTGATAGTGAGATGGGATGGGATAGTGAGATATAAATTTAATAATTAATAAAAGGGGAAGGGAAATCATCCTTCATTCTATTTTTATGTATTTAAATACATAAGAATCGTCTTTAGGCGAGATGATTGATTGAAAAGTAGCGGTCTTCCAGACACCAATGAATCATGGTAGACA